TGAGAAATACAGACTATTTCTCATAAAATATTACCATTTTCTCGACGAATTCATCGTTACTAGGCAAATTCAGAGGTTGTAGTTCGCATCCACTGGAATACTCTCGTTTTATGTATACTTTATACAGTCAATAAAGAGCGCCCTCTCTAATGAGATTACTTTTTGTACTTCGCATCTCGCACAATGCGGTCGTTCGGTTAGGCTGAGATATGTTTGTTTAAGTGTCAAAATCTCAGTCAGAATCAGTTTTTTAACAAAGTTGAAATAATTCCTATGAAATATTATATTTCACAAGTGTCAATACTAGCAACGGAAAATATCATGTCGGTCGGTTTTATGTGTGATAACAAAATCTAAATCGAGGTAAGGCTAGGCCTAGCCAGCAGCGTTGAAAAGGCTAATGTTTTCGGCGCCTACGATATTTCTTCTCACGACCTATCGCAAAATCAACATGAAAAATTCATCCGCATTTATTTTTTGTGTGGAACACAAAAAATCAAATTTCAGTCTTATTTTACATTTTGTTCATTCTTAGGAATGTCTAAATTCAGTTAAACTAGCAATTCCGTATTATATTTATAAATCTTTATAACATACAAAAATTAGATTTTTCTTAAAAATTGAAATTTTGCCGGGAATGGGGCCTTAAGTTTACTAAAAAGTTGAGCTTAATAAAATGTTTTCACTTTGAATAGGCTTTGCTAGATAAATAGAAATTGACACTAGACAATAATTGCTCTATTTATTGCTACATTTAATAAGTTACATACAATTTAATTTCTTTTTTCCAGACAGTCAACATGAGCTTGCAAAAACATGATGAATTGAACTGTTTAATCAAAGGAATACATTTCATTGATGGACATTTAAACAATGAATGTTATTACTGGAAGAATCCAAATCCTTTAAATTTAGAGGGAAGTGTCAAGATGCCCTTTAACTTTCGAGACCCATATCCTTATATGGTCGTCAACATCGGCTCGGGGGTGAGCATCCTAGTGGTAGAGTCGCAAGATAACTTTCGCCGAGTCTCTGGAACAAGGTAAGTCTTCCATAGAAAAATACAATCCAATTAATATAAATAAAATTAACTGGGTGTTGTACTAACTAAATAATGTATGGAAATAATACTGTAATGCAGATTGAATTAAATGGAAAAGAGCAATGCTCAAAAATAGGCTCCAGATAGGTGCAAAACCTAAAGCGTTTTACATGTACTGTATAGTTTGTTGACAATGCTACATTTAAGTTCAAAAGGGTCAAAATTACCCTAAACATACTGGAGTCCATTATCAGACACGGCGCTATCAGCCATTGGTCACAACACCGTTTTGTTGTGTACTGTAGATTACCACCAGGGCGATGAACACAGCGGAAGCGACTCTTCATCACACCAAAACAGCGTTCAACAACATTTCTTGCTTGTGCATGCACATCATTGTAGCTGTCTCTTATACACATCTAGATGTGTATAAGAGACAGGTGCATACTTAACGTACGTCTGTTTACCATAACTTTAGCTATAAAAAACATCTGTTGTGCTAGATGCATGCCATTTAACTACATTCAATCCAATTACTGTATGTAGAATAAATTTATGAATAGAAAAGTAAATACAGTAACATCACACACACACACACACTGCAAAGTTGAAACATCTGTCTCTTATACACATCTAGATGTGTATAAGAGACAGATTCTTAGGAATGTCTAAATTCAGTTAAACTAGCAATTCCATATTATATTTATAAATCTTTATAACATTATACAAAAATTAGATTTTTCTTAAAAATTGAAATTTTGCCGGGAATGGGGCTTTAAGTTCAAAAGGGTCAAAATTACCCTAAACATACTGGAGTCCATTATCAAACACGGTGCTATCAGCCATTGGTCATTAGTCAAAACGTAGGACCAATTACCGACTCCCTGATAAAACTACATTCACACTGTACTTGAATGAACTGAAATGAACCTTAACACATTCCATTTTACAGAAAATTTCCGCTACCACAGTCTAGAGTGTATCTGCACAAGTGCTGTATACTCAAAAAGGGTTGCCAGATAAACATCAACTAGCACTAATTAATACTACCTTCTCAATTATCTTACTGATACCAAATCATTATATTGTTTGTTGAACCTAACAGTGTTTGTTCAGACTCTGTCTGATTCAACATACAAAGTTTGATGAGACAAAGAAAAACCTGGAATGTGTGAAACCAAGTTGTCTGTCCAGCGACACATAAATAAGATAATACTGCATGCCGGGTTTCATTTTGTTTTAGTGTGATTTTTCTCGTGAGGCCCAGATGTACCCTCCAGCTGATTTTGGTAATAAAAAATATTAATTGTTGCCGTTGCCATTAACCACAAAGCTTAAAATTGCTTTTTTGTTTTGAAGAAAAGAAAATTTGAATTTAATGAAATGCTAATTTATGTGTATTTCACTGAGGTGCAACTGTGCATACTTAACGTACGTCTGTTTACCATAACTTTAGCTATAAAAAACATCTGTTGTGCTAGATGCATGCCATTTAACTACATTCAATCCAATTACTGTATGTAGAATAAATTTATGAATAGAAAAGTAAATACAGTAACATCACACACACACACACACTGCAAAGTTGAAACATTGATTAATTCTGCACCAGGTTTATAGATCCTTTCAAATTGATGTTCCCGCAATATTGCGGTAATCATAACAGGGTGATTTCTGGCCTATAACCTTTCAAAAAGCGCCTTTGTTACTGCAATATTGCCGCAATCTGACGCTTTTCTGTCTGAAAGGGTTTGACAGATTGGTGTAATATTGGAGGTTTAAAGCAAAAAGTGAAAAATTTAAGAAATATTAAAGAACTGGCATACAACTTTAAACCTTGTATATTGGTTAAACCATGGTTAAACTTCAATGCGCAGGCCGGCTTACCCTTTCAGGCAGAGCAAGGCTGTAATCAATGGGCTTATTCGACTGGTTAATTTCGCTGAGTATTATTTTCATTCGACTGGTTCGTAAAATAGACTTCGTTGACAACGAAAATTAACATAACCAGAATGCATTAATCAGCGTTAAGTTATGCATGTGACCAAAAAAAATATGGCCGACCAGTCGAATACAGCCATTAATGCAATATTGCGGCAGTATTTTACTAGGGTGCTTGGTAGTCTAAAGTAAGCCAGCATATTGGTGTACTGACCCTTTCAGACAGATACTGATGATGGCGTGCTTACCACAATGTTGCGGTATTTCAGCTCTGTCTGAAAGGAACTTACGAAAGATTGGGACACTCATGTAGTGAAAATATCTCTTCATGTTCGGTGTCGCGATGTAGAAAGAAGGCTGCATATCGCTTTGCGCTTATCCCCGGAGCTATGTATGTACTCTTTTTACATTTGGTGCTGGGTAATTTTTTCAAGATAATTGCCATCTATGGAGGCACGTTTTTTTCCCAAGCCTGGAATTACATTTGAAAATTACTTTTGAATTTTAAATATATAATAACCATGAATGATTGGAACATCTTCATATCTTAATTTAGTTTTGTAAGTAGAATTTGTGAGAAGATACTAAAGCAATTCAATAGCCATTTGTAATGTCACTCCATAATTGTAGAAGTGATCGGTTTGAGAAGCAATGACCTCGTTCTTGAATACACACATTTATCATAGAAGCATGTGCATAAGTGCTCTGATATTCATTATTCATGTCTGCTATGCAGAATGAGCTGGCTAAAGAGTTAAATATTTCTTATATACAGTACCTTAGAATTTGAATGTAAATACTAAATTTGTCAGGCCAATCAAATGGCTTGAAAATTGCTTTGTCATTTTTGTAGGTTTTATTATTATAATTTTATCAATATTAATATTTTATTTTTTTATGTGTTTGTCATCATTGATATTTTTTTATGTATTCTATTAGTTGCTATTAATTGCTATTAGTAATTTTCATTGCTTTTATCTCAAATCTTAAATTTCATTTCCTTCACAGCCTAGGTGGTGGGACATTCCTTGGATTATGTTGCTTATTAACAGGATGTAAAACCTTTGAAGAAGCCATAGAGATGGCTGCAATGGGAGACAGTTCTCACTGTGATAAGCTAGTACAAGATATATATGGAGGTGATTACGATAGGTTTGGCCTACCAGGATCAACAGTAGCTAGCAGGTAAGTATTGTGTTTATGTATACATTCTTCTATTGAGTTTGATCTTGATAGTTTCATATTCTAATGATTGCCAAACAGCTCTGTCCTGTTTACAGACCCGAATTAGGTCTGTAATCCACAAAAGAATATCTTAACATTAAGCTGTAATTGTTGACCTTTCATCAGCTTTCATTCCCAGGGTCCTGGACTTTATCTTGTTTTTCTGTGCTTTACATCTGCTTTAACACCTTTGCATGCTTTTATAGAGATTTTTTTTTCTTTTGATTATTTTACATGTTCTTCAGAATTAAATAAATATATTGTATCAGTATATTTATATTTGTATGGCTCCATAGCTTGAGAATGTATACACTATCAACATTATTTGCCCCAACAATTTTATTAATAAAGTTCTTCAATATCATAATTAGAAAATTTCTTTAAAAAAAACATGCTAAAATGTATTTAATTAATTAAAAATTTTAAATGTATAATTAATGAAGTGAAATAGTTAAGATGTATTTGTATAACATGGCCCCCAGATTCTTTCAAATTCAAAGATTATTTCTCAGGAATTTTCTGTAATATACTGTATCATTTTTTTTTTAGTTTTGGGAAAATGCATCTTGAAGATAAACAAAAAGAGGCTAGTAAAAATGACCTGGCACGAGCAACACTCGTTACAATAACCAACAACATTGGGTCAATTGCCAGAATGTGTGCTAGAAATGAGGTATGTCTCGTATATAACCTAGTTGATCATATATACCTTTATATCATTATTTAGATAGTGTATCAAAAGCATCATATTTGGATACCTGTAGATGGAAATAAATTTAAAGATGTAAAAAAAAATGAATAAATGTATATAAATGTGAATATATTATAAATATATATACGCAAATATTAATAAGTATGAATAATTATAATATACATTATATATAATAATTTAAAATAAATTTGAATTAATTAATATATGGGACTTGCCATGCCAAATTAAGCATTAGTGACAGAAACATGAAATTGATTTTTATTATAGTCATATTCTCAACATTTATAAGCTATATGAAGATAGGTCATCTGGGAAATGATTCTATTGACAAAGTTATGAGTAAAGGTATTATGGCTTTGCTACACCAAATTTTACAGCACTGCCACGCTCTTGCGCTGATTACTCAGTTTAATATTTAGCAACAGTACACCAGTTTAGGGATGACAATCCTCATACTGTATGATAAATATGAAGAGAAGCTAATAATAATCTGAATTTTACCATTTTCTATAAAATGGAAATAGTAATATAAACTTATAAAATTGTAATTTTGTTATTCCGGCATTTTGTATATTTACACTGACATTTAAGTTGCGTGTATTCTACAAACATCTATAACCACGTCAAACCTGGTGTAAAATTAATTTAGTATTGTGATAATTTTCTTTAATCCAATTTTCTTTCAATGGTTTATTTCCCTGTGTAGGGCATTGAGAGGATTGTGTTCGTTGGTAACTTTCTGAGAGTGAATACAATAGCTATGAAACTATTAGCATACGCCATGGAGTATTGGTCACAGGGTGCGCTCAAAGCCCTATTTCTCGAACATGAAGTAAGTTGTTAATTGTTTGTGATGAATTCATTTATTTGGAGGGGAGCTCTGCAATTGTTGTTATTTCCTCTGATGCTGTTGTTGATGGCACTAAATCAGAGGCCTTGTCGTCGTTGCTGTTTGATATGGCTGCTGCAGTTGTTAATATTATTAGGACAAGCACAGAGACAGCTATAAAACTGAACTATAGACCTGCAACTATTGCAGTTTGGCACAGCGGGAACGGGTTAATTTCCCAACCTCAAGGTCGGGTTGCAATCGCTTGCTTTGCATTTTGCTTGTGTCCTTGATCAAGGCACTTTATCTGCGTTGCTTCTCTCTACCAACGAGTTTAAATGGGTACCTGAGGAGGTTAAAGTGCAAAATGCGTTGATATATTTCATGCATTAAACTATGGGATTTCCCCCACAGGCATCGTTCCAATGACTGGGGTAATAATGTGGAGAAGCTCTGTATAAAAATATACATATTATTATTGTTATTGTTATTTCAGGGTTCATAACCAACTACCAATCACCACTTTATTTTAAATAGTAAAAGAATAACCACTAGACTAAATTTATATGGCCAAGATGGCAAATTATTTAATAAAGCATTTAGGGTTCCACCTTATGGAAATTTATATATGTTTGCCAAAAAAAGGTGACTATAGATTTTGAGTTGGTCATGGTTGCACAAGATAAAATTATATATTAAAAAAAAAAATTAATTATTATTGTTAATTATTGTTATTGTAATCATTTTTGTGATATTCTGATCAATAGCAATGGCTGAAATGAGAGACAGGTTTTGAGTTGGTCATGGTTGGGCAATAGAAAATGATGTACTTTTTTGAATTTTTATTATCATTATTACAATTGTTATTCTTAAATATTGTTATAATCAATTTTATGATATTCTTGTCAATCCATAGGGTTACTTTGGCTCTGTTGGAGCCTTCCTTGAACTCATCTCGCCGTACATGGACCAGCCTGAACTTCAAGCCAATGGCTTTACACAAACAACAACACAATTCTCCTGATCATTTGCAATGTCTGACCTGTATTTCCAAAACTGAAGATGTATATTTCATATAATATTTTATTGATTTATTATATTGATTAATTAATTTAAATTGATTAGGTGCATGTTTAAATTTGCTGAATAGACAGCAGCTTAGCACAGCCAGTTAAACCGTGTGTGCGCTAAACTGTGGAGATGTTTTCAGTTGTTTGGCCTCCAGTTCAATTCCATCTCAGCTATCCTCGTATTTCAGCCCGTGGACTAAAACGCAAGCTATGATTACGCATTCTCTTTTGCAAGAGACATTTAATCTGCTAATCCTGTGTACAATATGGCCAATGTTCATGTTAAAGAACTCAGTACACTTCAAAATGGAACTGGTGATTGTTTCCTCCTAGTGTACTGCCAGAAAAACCCTAGTGGAGTTAAGTCTTCAGATTTTCGTGAGTTATTCTTTTTCTTTTCCCAACAAAATATACCCTAAGTATAATTTTCCTACAGCTGTTATGTTATTAGATTTTAAACCTAGTTTTTAGATGAGAACAGAAAATTACAAAGCTGAATGTAAAACCATATTATGAGTGCTAACAAAGAACGTTTTACTTTAAACTTTTTAGAAGGGTATGAATGCAATTGTTGGGGCATAGTTCATAGTTTAAATGTTAAAATGAGGGGGTGGTGGTAGGGAGGTGGAGGGCTGTAAGTTGATTCTTTGAGCAGTCTTTTTCCATTCACACATTTCCTTTTCTTCAAAATAAGTATCTATTTTAACAAAATATATTTTGTGAACTATATGGGCATTAATGAAGTGTACTAGTGATATTTTTTGTATAATAATCAATACTGTATATTCTCCAATAAGCACCAACTCTCTTCGATAAGCTCAAAATATATTTGAGTATTTTTTCTAACCCTGTAAATGTCTTGATAATAATGAGAGAATAATGAGGCAAAATCATACTAAGATAACTATAACTACCATTTTGCTTTATTTGTATGGTATATATATGTATATATATTAAATATACATATTAAAAGAAATATATATTAAAACATTTTGTTTATCATGGATACATATAATATCCTCTTGTGTTTTAAGGGCAGAATATACAATAGCAGATCCAGGATTTGAAATGAGGAAGGTGCATTACTGATGGAAAGGCTTAACCCATAGGCTGGTGGGCTGATGGGACCATGGATTGAGACCCGGTGGGGTCAAGTGAGTGAAGCCCCTTGCACAACAATGATCTGAGCATAATTTTAATGCTTATTTAAAAGTTGTCAGGAATATTTTCCTTTTTTTGGGATTTCAAAAAAATGGTAATGTGCACCCCTAGAATGCTCCCTATGGATCTGTCATTGGAATGTCCCACTTCTAAAAGAAAAGTTCGCTGGGAATATTAAGAATTTTTCCCCACCGAGAATTTAGCCTATTTCATGTCCCATTGTATCACACTCTCTAATTAGTATACTTCAAAATAGCTTACACATTGATAGTAAGTAAATCTTCTATAGCAAATACTAGTTTCGTCATTGGTGACGTTAAATGGAGACCATTAGAATTTAATATCAAAGTTATTAGATAAGTGCGGTTGTATTTTGGCAGAAAATATAGCCCTTGGTGTTAAATAATATTAGGGGTAATTGGAGAGTGTATGTGTGTGTGCTTGCAAGAATAATTTAGGGGAGATAGAATAGGGGTATTTTTATTTCTGAGGGGATATTTGTATTTGATTGGTGTGTTAATGTTGGGTATTTAGAAGTGCTGGTAAGGAAGGGATAAATGTGTTCACCCCCGTATAATAGTAATGGTACTATAAGTGTTATTAAATAATATATATTACATGTATCTCATTCCATTTGTAGATGAACCAATATGATGTGAATTAAGAGATGTCTTCTAGAACTGCCATTAACTCAATCAAGTAAATTTAAAGCAATACTTTTTATAATTAGCAGCTGGGTTGTGGCTCAGTTAGGTTAAGTCTTTTATAATGTGTAGCGTAATTGTACTGTACTGTATGTATTGCTGCTGATCAAATCCTATCTGTCTCCCTCTATAGTCTCTGCCCAGATTATGTCGATTCTATGTTTACTACAATATGGACAACTGTTTGTATTCGTTATATTTCTTATATTCGTATTTAAAATGAGAATATTTTATCCAATTGCAACAGTTAGATTTCAATGGTAAGTTTATTACTATTAAATAGTAAAATAAATATAAAATGTCAATATGATTAAACAATATGTGTATTTATGATTGGTAATAGATATCCAAATAGATATTATTGTAATTACATGTTATGGTGGTTTTACAAGAGAACTTGAAGAATAATTGTGCACATTATTTTAATGCTAATTTTATACATTTTACACCTGTCTTACCTTGGTACTTTGTGAATGGCTCATTTTTATTTATATCTGCGGATCTGTCACAATTTAAGAACAGCACCGGTGATTCAGTAGACATTTACAAAGGGAGGCAAGACACAATATAGAAAGAAAAATGTAATTTATTAATGACGAGTTAAAATATAACATTGTACGTTGTGTGCATTTTGTGAAACATGTAATTCAGAATTAAATTATTGTCATACAAAAAGTTATGCATTATGAAGTTATATATCCTAACAATGCGATGTATGATGCTGCACATGCGCACGGCCAGCAGAGTGTCCTGAATAAAATCAAAATGAGCCGTCCGAGGATATAAAGGTATTTTTCAGCGCAAAAGCGCTGTAAAATGGTTGTTTTTTTTATAGTCCATTCCTCTATATACCTCTTTAAAAAGTGATTTCAACCCTGGATTGTACGTACATTAGCAAAGTTGTATGACGGTATGAGGGTATGAGACACTTGCTGTTTAATGTCTCGAATTAAAAGGTTGATTTGAATAAAATGTATAGGCCTAGGCCTACCCTACGGGTGAGTTTGTTTGTGCTGTATTGATGATCACTCAACAATGATTATTTAGGTGACGATTGGTTAATAAATATATACCTATATATTCAACAGATGATGTTTGTAATAGTTTTCGATTTTACTTACTTCAAAGTCGTGAGTCTACACCCACCTCAGCGCCATCATGGTTGAGAATATCTCAAGATGGTCGGAATGACACTCTTGTATGTCTACACGCTATATACTTAGGCTATGTTCTCACACGGCTGCTAACGGTTAGCAGGATCCGGATCCTGCTAACCGGTAGCTGCCGTGCGTATAGTAAAATCCATCATCATCATGATCAACATGATCTTTTATCTGCAATTTTCGGCGATAATAGAGGTCTAAATAACTTCTGTATAGTACCATAGAAAATAAAACTTAATTGTCTTTAATGTATTTACTTTAATTTCTACTTTGCGGAACTCCTTATCAAAACCCACATACTTCTTCTTCTCTCTCATATATGGGGACTTCATTCAGAGTGATAGGCCTCAGGCCCTTTTACAGTATAAATAAATATACATTTTTAGTGCTTTAAATAAGGCGAGACTTTTTTATACCTTGTTTAGCGAACCCTCCGATTCCGAAATTGTGGATTTCAAAATAATTTTTTTTTATTATAAGTGTGTTAGTGTACGAGTCGCCATGAAAAATTGAAAAAAAGAAATAAAAATAAAAATTTATATTTATTTTTATTCTGCCCTCCGCTAAATGGAATCCCTTTTCCCGAAAATTTAAATCTTCCTAATTTTCACGGAACTCCATATCCCGCGAACTTCTAGTGGTTTGACTTTCATATGTATTTTGATGTGTTGTTAATTTAGTGAATGTTTTCATATTGTTTTTTATTTCATATCTTCGTTTCGGAGGTTTTGAAATAAAATTGAAATTGGAAAAGGCATATGCTTGCTTGAAAAAATCAAGAAAGACAACATTTATTAATTGATCATAATAAACTGTTATGTTACCTGTTAGTTGAATCTACTTGTAGGCACTTTTTTTACTTAAGAAATAACATTGTGGTCGAAAAGTGAGTGGGACCAAAACCCCTTAAAATTATGTGGGGGAAGTATCCCCCGTCTCCCCATGATCTGCGCCCATACTGGTAACCAGTACAGCCACTACCCAGTCCGGATCCCCTCAAGGGGCTGACACAACACCATGGTTGAAAAACTGGCTATTCTGCCGGGAAATAACACATGCATACTTTACAAAAATGAATGTCCCTCACTTTGAAAGCGTGATAAATTTATATTGCAAGTAATTAGGGCCGGCTTGACCATTAATACCTTTGTGTCACATAACAGCCTATACTGATTCCATCGGAGTTTTTTTTTTTAAAGTCGATTCTTATCCTACAGTCATCAACATAATAATAATTATCGACATCATCATCACCGGCATCATCATCATCATCATCATCACCATCATCTATATCATCATAACCACCACCATTATTATTATTATTATTATTATTATTATTATTATTATTATTATTATTATTATTATTATTATTATTATTATTATTATTATTATTATTATTATTATTATTATTATTATTATTTTATTATTATCCTCATCATCGTCATCGTCATAAAGAAATGACGCATTAGAAAAAGAATATGAATTGTTTTTTTTTTTTATACCACTCCAGGTGGCGTTTTACATATAAACATTACTCAATGGAATACAAGGGAGACTTTACAATTAACAACAATTGTGAGTACAGTATTGAACATTTTCTCTTATACACATCT